TTATCTTCACTCACTCAAATTGTTAATAACTCTAAAAGCTGTAAAGAGAATATAACAATGATCTAACACGTTGTCTCAAAATACCTCTTAAAATGGCTTTTACACGTAACAGCTACTTAAAAATAAATAAATAAGATACGGTTCTAAAACAATTTACGATATATGTTATATCGTACGAGTTATATCGTATTAATTGAGTCATAAAAATTCTCAGACCAGTAAACTGAAGATGAAATAAATGCTGCACACTATTTCTTGTACAAAATGTATTGTTAAGAGATGTTTTAATGTAGTATATAGTACTAAATTTTACAATAACATTTTCTTTTGTGCTAAAGTGTATAAGTATATATAATTGAATGGGACATTCTATACCTAAATTAATAGTTTAACTTCTAAATTTATCTTAAGTGTACTTTAGTTAAATGTCTTATTAATTTAGATAGGAGGAGGGGGGAATCGAACTAAAATATTAAATTTTAATATTTAATAATTGAAGATAACTTTATAGTCAACAATGAATTTTAACACTTTTTTTCATTTCTTTTTTATTTATTTGAAACAACGATGTCCCTTTAATATATATATATTTATTTATGACGCTCTAATTATAAGTAAATATATATTTTAATATTTTTTATGATAAAAAACAGTCTAATACTTAGTAAACAATTGTTAAGTTATTAGAATTATATTTGTACTAAAATATAATATGGGGGGAAAAAAACTTAGTTTGAAAAAAAAATTTTTTCAATTATACTAAAAAATTTGCCAATAATTGATTTTGTATATGTTTACAAAATAAAATTGATTTCGCAAATTAAAAAAAATTTCAAGAATGAATAAATGCTTCTTTTAAACCAAAATTACTGCAAATAAGAGCAAGTTTCAAAAAATTTTTGTAAGGAAATGAGTCGTATGTTTGGATGATTTTGCCTTTGACGCCGAAATAAACTGTGTTTCATAATCAAAAATTATTAAAATGCTTAATATAATATTTTTAACTTGTTTTGACCGAAATTAAAATAAAAAATTAACAAAGAAATTTAAATTCTGCGTCAAACGGTTGAGGTTTTTTTGACATCGTTATACCAACGCTAACATTCATTTGATACTTAAAAAAAAAATACTTTCTCAATTTGAAGCATTCAGCAATTTTGCTCGGCACAGTTACAGTAATAGTGAAAATGTCCATATGTTTTCCTCTCCTATTAGATGAATGAATTTTAATTTCTGCTTCAGATTTCCTAAATCCTTCCATCCCTTAAACCCATTTTCAGAATGACCATATTTACAACAGTAATGGACGAACAGAGGAATAACCATATATTTTATGAGTTGAATTATCACGATAAGACGCATACTTTACAAAACGTCGACTACAAACCATTTCTATTCAATTCTGATGAAAAATTATCTTTGTGAATAACCTTTAACACTCATTTTCCTAAATGAGCGCAATTCTGAAATTCCTGACAAACAATTTAGGATAATTCGCTTTGAAATCATCATTTATCGCAATATAACATGTACGGACTCCCCGAATCAATTAAAGAAAATTGGACTTGTAACGGATTCATTGGTAGGAGTAATTCATTCGTTCGTTTGGAGTATAAAATTATCGAACAAGTGAGGAAAGTTGGAGGAAATGAGACATGTTTGCCATGATTGAATATTCATTAAACTCATTTCAATAATCAATACGCGCAGGATAAAAGGAATAACGCATGGATGAAACAACTATAATTAAAGTTTCGTTCATTAGAGATTTATTTTTAAAAAAAATTGCTAATGAGAAAAGTAAATTATATACGATGGAACATAATTCTCAGAATTAATTTTTCTGAAATAACAATTTTGAGACACCGCTGTTGCCTTCCGCCCAAAACTAAAATTTTGTTGTTGATCAGAGCACTTGAATGACAACCTGTAGATATTTTATCTATACATATTCTAAAATAAAATTTCTAAAGAAAAAAATTTTGTATATTTCTTGGGAACTGAGATGAAAACTAAAAACGTAAGTTTGAGAAATCTAACACTATGGTGCAGATGGAACACTGGTTACCCTAATTATATGACACCGTAATTGTAAGAAAAAGTATTTAATTGTAACCAAAAATATCAGTATTTTTTCAATTATAAAAACAGTATAATAGTCACTGAAAAAAATCTGTTAGATTATCGGAATTATATTTGTATTAAAATATAAAATCCAAAAAAAGTAGTTTGATTTTTTTTTTCATTCATATTATAAAATTTATGAATAATTGATTTTGTAAATTAAAGAAATTTTAAAGACGAATAACAATTTCTCTTAGGTCAAAATAATTGCAAATAGGTGCAAATTAGAAAAATTATTTTTTGGAAGTGGGCCATATTTGAAAGACTTGCCTTTAGCGGAAAAAGACATCGGTGTTTCGTGCTTCATTTAATAATCATAAATATAATATTTTTCACTTATTTTTATCCAAATTAATATAAAATAATGAAAAAAAAAGTATGCAAAGTATGTTTAAAAATTCTGCATCAAAGGGTTAAAAAGTAAAGATGAACGAATTATAACGATATAAATATTAAACTGAACGAATTTTAAATATATAAATAAAACGAATTATAAATATTATAAATACAGTCAATTCGCTATAACTCGAAGTACGATAACTCGAATATTACTATAACTCGATTTTTTTATGAGGTCCCGACCCTTTTATCTTCAATTTCATGTTAATTANTATATAAATATAATATTTGCGACAGTATATGAAAAGACTTTTAACCATCAGGTAAACAGTAATTTTACAGAAACATATGGGAAGGATGAAATTTTTTTAACACATAAGAGCACATGAAAAGAAAAATTAGTTTCTTTAATACAAAAGTGAATTAAGAATTATTTTAGTTTTAAAAGAATTATTTTAGTTTTAAAAATAAGTATTGTTTAAAAATAAGTATTATTTATAAAAAACCATTTTTAAATGAAAAATAAAATTCTCCAGTTCATTCAGTTCGCATTCTTAAGAAAACCAATAAACTGAAAATTTTAATACGTTTATTTTTAGATTTCCCTCCTTCAAAAGTAATAAAACTTTCAAGTGCAGTAAAGAAATGAGGGCGATATTGAAAAATNTTCAAGAATGTAAAAACGTATCCTTTGGAATATAAGTCTAACAAAAAGTTTTGGATGACATCAGTATTATTTGAAGACTATGTAAGAAAATTGGATCGAAAATTCTTCGCTAAGAAAAGAAAACTGATACTCTTTATGGATAAATACGCAGCGCATAGTGATCTACCTAATTTGAAAGCAGTAAACTTGCAGTAAACCAGAGTATCATAAAGTGCTTCAAACAGTCTTATCGTAAATGGCTTGTCAGAAAAATGATCTTAAATATTGTAAGCATTTAGAAGATTTGTAATTAATAAGCATTAATTAAATAATCAGACAATATTTTTAAAGTCCAAAACTGAAACTAACGGTAAGTCGAACTTCCGATATATCGAAGTTTTTCACCAGTCCTATCAGATTCGAGTTATCGCGAATTCACTGTATATAATATTTATTAACGAATTATAAATATATAAATATAATATTTGCGACAGTAAATGAAAAGACTTTTAACCATCAGGTAAACAGTAATTTTACAGAAACATATGGTAAGGAGGAAATTTTTTTAGCACATAAGAGCACATGAAAAGAAAAATTAGTTTCGTTAATACAAAAGAGAATTATAATTATTTCAGTTTTAAAAATAAGTATTGTTTAAAAATAAGTATTATTTATAAAAACCATATTTAAATGAAAAATAAATGTCTCCAGTTCATTCAGTTCGCATTCTTAAGAAAACCAAAACTGAAAATTTTAATACGTTTATTTTTAGATTTCCCTCCTTCAAAAGTAATAAAACTTTCAAGTGCAGTAAAGAAATGAGGGCGATATTGAAAAATATTTAATCTTCCTATACTGCTTTCCTTGATTACGAAAAAAAGTAATTATAATTTACTTTAAGAAAAACTTCTCTGAAGAGGAAAATGAAGAAAAAAAAGGAAGAAGAAAAAAATGTATTTTTTCTTCGGCCATGCAATGAGCAAATATTAAAAGCATCTATTTCTTCTTAAATGACTTAATGTTTTATCTTCAATAAAAATTCATTTATAATTTTGTAGTTATCACTACAGTATGGTTTGTAACTTAAAGTGCATATCATACTTCCTCAGATCCATTAATAATGTTTCTAGAGCCATTTCATTTTTCTTTCCTTGCATATATTTTAAAAATTATTTCATAATGCATTCTCAATAATGAAAATTTTCTTTTGTCCAGTCGAAATAGAAATAACACATTTTCTATCCTTCAAGCATAATTATGTATTCTTTCTCTCAATAAATATTATCATTAGTACCTTCTCAGAAAACGCATTTGAGCGGAAATTAAATTCTATAAGATAGTCCTGTCTTTAACTACTGAGGCATTAACAAAAATATTTGAAACTGTCAAAGGTTTACATTGTGCACACTACGCTGGTTTACGCTGTACACTACTGCAAAGTTTTTATTTTAGACAGATATTCGGTATTTATTTCGGTATGTATTCGGAACTGTTTCTTCATGTGCTTCTGAACCCATAAGAATAAGAGCACATTATGGGGAAAGCGCCACTAGTTGAGCACGACAACATTTCCAGGCACGAGTTCCGATGTAATTTTAGCCCTGATGCTGTGCCCTAACTCTCCAAGAACTTATCGCGTCCTTTTGTTACATATAAACTATTGTTTTATAACCTGTACATTTCGACAAAAAATGAAGTAAAAATTTAATTTTAAAAAAAAAGAGAGTAGCCTTAGGAACAAAACTAATTTCACATTCGAAATCCCCACCTCAGAACTAGGCAAGATCAAGCACTTGTATGAGTGCAACAAAAAAATTGCTCCTCAGTGTAATCTTTTTCAATTTGAATGTTTTTATTTTAACTTATACTTATATGTTGTTTTTTTTTTCAGACGCCGGGTGTAGGCAAAGCGGCCAATGTGCTGGTGGGCAAAGCCCTTGGTACAAATGGGACAGGCTCAAGCAACCAAAGCCTAGGTTCTGTGTGCCATCCAGCACAAATGACAGAGGCCATTGTTCTCTTCACGATCGCTGCTCTAGGAATGGGCGCAAACATGTTCCTCATGCTGCTTATTGTGTTCAAAAGACCTTTAAGAAGGTAAGCACTATCCCATTTCGAAAAACATTTATGTTCTTTGACAATTGCAAAGGGGGAATTTTTTTTTTACTCATCACTGATTCAATTTCCATAAAACATTGAAATGAAAATAAATAAAAAAAAGGAACGATCTCTATTTTATTATCAGTTAAGCAGAGTCTCATCTATAAGATGGGAAACTAAGAAACTACTACAAGGTTCGTAGCTTAATCTATCAACAAAAGCACCTTTTAAGTACTTTTTAAGCACTCAAAAAATATATTTAAGCACTATAAATGCAAAATAACTTTCAAAGACTTTACAGGATCATAATAAAATAGCTAGTTTCTGACAAAGAACTCTTTTCTTGATTATATTAAACGTTATAAAATGATCAAGAGATTTTTCGGTTCGATATCAGAGGGTGGAAAATGAAGCCTGAAATGGAGAATATGCAGCAGAGTTGCACATGAGAGTGCAAAAATTATACCGAACCCAGCTCAGAAATGAGAAAAAAATTTCATTTTCGAAAAGGGAAAATCAAACACTTTTTGAAAAACACCCGATGAAAAAAGCACCGTTAAGGGTTTTTAAAAAACGAAAATCGAAAATAAGCACCTTTAAGCACTTTTTAAAAACTCTACGCACCATGTACAAAATTCAACGATAAACTTGGAGTGAAACCAAACCGCATTTGCACTGAATGGAGGGAAAATGAACCCTCTGAGGGTTAACGTAACGGCAATTATCCTCACAGCCAATTTAATACTAATTCCAGAGAATAATTCGCTTCGAAAGAATAATAGAACGCGGCAAACGAATAAATTAAATAAAGCTGGAAAGCGAACCTCGGTTGCTCGAGTTGGACGAAAGAACTTTATCCACTGAATAATATCTGCACTCCAACCTATCACGTTAATATCTTAGATCATTTTTCTTTGCAACTTAATCTTTCTGTTCTCCAACAAAAACTCAGCTTAAGTAAAGTCAACAATAAACTAGCTAAATTTTAAATGTCAATTTGAATGAATTGGTACAATTTTCAAAGAAGAATATTTTTACTAAGTATTTATTAAAAGAGAAATCTCATTTTAGAGCAGAATATTCTTTGAAAAATATTTCAATGGTAACTTTTAACACACACACAAAAAAAAAACCGTATGCAAATAAAAGAAAGGAAAATCATTAATATATTAACAACCACATTATTTGAAATCATCGCTATTTTCCCATAAAATAAAAGAAATTTTTAAAAAAAATTTTACTTTGAAATAATGTTCTTGTTAAAAATAAATAAATTAAGCTTTCAGTAAATAGAGTACCTAAAATTTCCTCCATCTAATAGTTAAGTTTTAAAGAGCTAAAAAGGCTGCTAACACAGTGAAAAAAAAAAAAATATGAGAGTTAGAAAGAAAAATATTGATAGAAATCCTCATGAGAGAGAATAGATAAAAACGAAGTAGGCAAAAAAGAAGTATGCGCATAGCTTTTAAAGAAACAATAGGGAACTGATTGTATTACGAAACTAATAATAAAAAAGCTTCACAACGATAACAATTAAACTAGCTGGAGGGACATTTGATACATATTTTTTTAATTAAGCATTTCATTTTATTTGAAATTCGCTATATAAAGAAAATTCGCTTAATAAAGAGAAATATTTTATAACAATTACTGATATATTTCTACTTTTAGAGATTTGTTTGTATCTTAAATAGTTAAAAAAAAGTGGTTGCAATTTTTTTTTTTTCTTCATGATTAGCATTTATGCTAGAGAAGCAGGATATATATACGTCCATAAAAATATATAACAATAAAAAAATAATTCTTTATCCGAATATGCTACTGCAGATAAAGAAATATTGATCGATGCTTTAAAAAAGATGGTTTTTACGTTTAGTACAAACTGGGAGAAGAGAACTAAAGGAAATGTTCACAATTTTATTTTTATAAAACAAATAAAGATGGAAAAGAAAATCTGAAAATATATAACAAAAGCTAAATAAAGTTTTTCTTCCCTGTAGTACGATAAGATCAAACTTTGCCAGTTTTGGAAAAATGACAAAATAGTTTAAGAAATGCATTTTAAATAACACAGTTCAAAACTAATCTTCAGTTAGGTCTAGTTATATCTGCACAAAACCAAAAGTATAATTTTAAAAAAAAGTATAGCATTTTTCGGACATTTAAAATCGAAATGTACCGAACGTAATAATGTACTAAATGAAATATCAACCAATCTGTATAAGCGTGTATCTGATCCTTATTTACGTCAAGCGTTAGCTTCCAGTACATTATTACGTTAGCTTCCAGTACATATTGTTTAAAACAGTTACTTTTTTTTATCTCATTAAAGTGATAATGCGAGAATCACCCATTTGAATATTTTCGTTTCCAACCGTATATATTGCTACACAAGTCCTAATTAATTGTATCATAAAGTTATCAATTTTCATCATCCGGAAGTCTTGCTGTCCTCTTCTGAGGTCATAGCATTAATGTGACTTTTTTTTTTTTGACGTTCTAGGTTTGTTTGTATACGTTCTAAATTTTCAGTTGTTCTGAATTTAATATTTGTGTCGTCTTTTTGTTTTTTTACAGCAACAAAAATACTACATGAATCTTTTACTGGAAGAAAAAAAAAATAATCTCTGTAAATACAGCCCCCTACCGTTGAGAGCACGAAACACAGTAGCGAATAAGGTAATAATCGGTACATCACGTGTCTTACTCACGTGATTTACAAATTAGAAGATTATGCAAGCCTAATATTTAGTCTTTTTGTCGCTGCATCGAGATTCAATATTACGTTATTTACATACCTCACTTTTTGAGAAACAGTTAGCAGCACAAATGTATTTGGTGCAGATTTCTCGGATTTTCACAGAATCTGATTGTAAATTAGGTACTTGTACTTACAATGTCAAGAGCTTTCAGATACAAAAGCGTGTAACCAAATATAGTATTTACTTTCTTGCCTAGAAGTAAGTACAAGGTAAACAGTAAGAAATCTTTTAAATGTGTGTTGCAGATTATATAAATGGATGTGATGTTGTCTTGTTTTAATCTTTTTAAAGATGGTCCCAAGGACTACTTTTCCATCAAGGTCTCGTTGATTGTGGTAGGGCAAGTCTTCTACTTCTCCTAGGTGTTGGAGTATTATTTTGTCAACGGTTGCCTAAGTGCAACATTATAGAAACAGCATTCCTATTACTGGTGACAGTTTCGACAGTCAACATGCTGACTTCCGTCATCAATGACGCCTCCTTGTTGCCCGATCAAGATTTTCAGGTTAGTGTTTAAAATGTTAAGAGATTTACGAACGTATGAACCTTATGCACGCAATAAACTTATTTGCTACTATTATGAAGGCACCATTAAACACCAAATTTATGTTAAAAATTATTTATTGTTGCGAGTTGATTAATGTAATAAGCTGAAAGTCTTAAATTCATCTTTAATTACTAATTATGAAATCTAACGAAAAAGAATTCAGTAAAATTTATCACATGACAAAATTTAATTTAAAATATACAAATAAATCAGTAATCAACAAATTATAAATAAATTTTTTGATACATTTGTTTATTTTTTTTTATTTATTTATTTATTTGCATTATCATTAAGTAAAAATATGGGATAAAAAAAACACTCAAACGTTTGACTGATGTAAAAAAAATGGAAAGGAAAATCATTTTTGTAGAATATACAATGCAAGTTAAAATAAAATTCCTCTTACCCTTATTATCAACTTAATGACCATTATATCAACCAGACTAACCCTTTGCACTAGAAGGCTCCTGTCTGGCACCATAAATCATCTACCATTCTAAATGCGAAAATTTTTACACGTTAACGTTTAGTAACCAATTTAATTAATGGTTTCTTTTGTCTAGTAAGCTCCTAGTAATTGCATCCTTTTTTCGTTTTTTTTTCTTTTGTGCAATGAAGCAAGCTTTTTTTTTTAAAGAAAAAGACTGTAATAGGAAAAGGTATAGAACAACAGAACAATGTTGAAAGCTCATAATTCATTGAACATGTAACGTTATGTTTTAACATAAGAATGTAATGAAATATTTCAGCATCCACCACAGCAATCCAGCCCTCATCGCCATCACTACCACCATCAAAATCCGATACATCCGAACCAAGACCTAACTGGATCGTCCACTGTATCCTTGGATTCGCCGCAGTGCATAGTTTTTGGTCTTTTCATAATCTGGTTCGCCAGCTTCACTATTAATTTAGGACCCACCTTGCTTAGCGGGGCCTTGACCAGCTCCAGAGATACAGCAGGGCACGTTGATGCCTGCCCTATGGTCTATGGCCCCGTTAGGCACTACGTGCTCAATGTCCTCTGGGTCACAGTAAACGTGATGTGCGCGGCACTTACTGGAGTTCACCTCAGAAAGCTATACAGGGATTTGACAAGGTAACTTTAACTACGAAAAAATTACTTTTATTACACCTTCCCTTTACTCCAACAATAATTGTCGAATATAATTTTCTCCGTTGTCCCATAACAACTCTGCTCAAGGCAAATGATTATATATAGTAGCCTTCATAGAGAAATTAAATAAAACAAAAAATATGCATGAACGATTACAATATTAAAACAAATTTAGCAATAAACTGAATAAATATATATATTGAGCGGTAATTTTACAATGAAACAAAAACGCATTTTCTTAGTGACGAGAATTTTTAATGTAAGTACTTCTTTTAATATTAAGTAATGAATTAAGATATAATTGCAACTCACCACGCTAATCTGTCAAGTCAATGGGGCTTTACTTAAAATTGTAAAGGATTAATTTTGATTACAGTTAACTTTTGTCAACTCTGCACTTCCACACCATGCCAACAGTATTTGTTCACTGTCCACCGAAAACATTGTTTTCGAACCCTCTTGCGAAGCTACTTGTATTCTCGAGATACTTAGTCCACAAAAGTTCTTTTATGTTGCGTATTATGATCCCCGAATAGCATAATATAACTAGTATTCAAATTTAATGATTGGTATATTGAACAAAATAATTAGTTTCCTTGAAAAGCTACACCAGAAATATGAAGCAATTGATTTCAAAAGCAGTATTTATTGCTAGTCGTAAATCTATCTTTATTATAATTCATGTACATAATCGGAGACTCAACCGCTGGTTACTTTATTCCTTGCGTAAATATCTAGATATTCATTTGCATTTTCTGTAATTGCATTTTGCTGTCCGAAAATATAAGTCGGTTGTGCAAGCAATGTCTCAAAAGAAAAATGAAGGCTAATAAGAATTCACTACAGTCTTAATTCGCTAATAATGATGATTTTGGCATAAGTTTAGTAAAAGAGACCATAATTTACTATTTAAGTATTTTTTTAAAGAAATACTTTAATTGTTACAAATGGATAACTCAAGTAATAACCTATAATCCTATTTTGAAATAATAAAGAGGATTATAAGGGACCCAAGATAAAAAACAAAAACCTTAAAATAAATTATTTTCGTTTTACTACAGAACGCGCAAGAATTTCGTACGACGAAAAACGACAATTATGTTTAGCAATGTAATATAGATAACAACGATTTGCACTTAATGTATTATTTTAAAGCGCAATAAAATTTTCGCAGGTCAAATCTAGAAGCAGTTAGGATAGCAGGTTTAGTGACAACCATGATATCCGTCAGATCAGATCCCCATGACGCATCTTGCAACGAATCTCAGCAGATTCAAAGCTACATTCACCGCCTGGAACAAGAAGGTAAGCCAAAGAATCTTTAGAGAAAAATGTATCATTTATATTATTTTCCTTGGACTAGAATTGCTATATTCCCCGCAGGCATTCGAAGGGTGAAGAGCTTTGCAATCATCTTAGCAGCATATGTCCTATTTTGGGGCCCACTGTTCACCCTAACTTTAATCCAGCCCGGTAGACCCGGCTATGCCATAACCTATGAAATTACTCTGCACGTTGCCTTCGTTCATGCCTTTGTGAATCCCACTCTGCTGTTGATGTTGCATAGGGATTTGAGAAATGTCGCCTCGGATTTTCCTTGCTGTGGAAGTAGTTGGTCCGGAAATGACTGTAGTGCATCAAACAACCTCAACGGTAGTCACACACCTTCTACTGATATGGCAAGAGCCTGCCGACTGAACAGGGGATATATGTAAGTTTAACTTTCCTTTTGTCTAATAATTATTTAGAATTGGTTGGGTACGGTTAACTGATGACTATTATTCCCCAAATTCCCTTTACTTCCTTACTTAAATCGAATTATAATGAAATATGCACTATAATAGTCACCATAGTCACCAAAACAATGATTGAATAGTTCCTTCAATGAAAATCTCGAGTTTTTAATTCTTAAAAAGTTGGATAGAAAGATATTTATTATTTAGCATTGGCTTGGCATGATAATAGTAATTGATAACTATTATTCTACAAATTCCTTCTATAAATCTAATCAGAAAGAAGAAATATGCACCATAAATACCAACAAAACAATATTTGAATAGTTCTTTCAATGAAAATCTTATGCAATTAATTTTCGGAAATTGAATAGGATAAGAGCTTGCACATAATGATAAGTGTTAATCGTTTATAAGCGCTCGTAAACGTTTAAAGAATACTGCTTGCTGAAAAAATGATTAATTTGCAAGAATTTTAAAAACCAGAAGATTTTTCCCCCCTAGTGATTAAAAATTGTACTTCGAACAAATAATTTACCACAACTCTTCCCAGCCCGTTATTCTATCCCTAAAATGTATTAATATACCAAAACGCTTCATGTTGCGGAATGGTTTTGATTTCAAACTTTTTTTTTAAAGCTATATTCCAACAATGCTTAATTTTCTTTTATTCAACAAAAAAAAACCGGATATAATTTTCATAACTTTAAATTCTTTTAATATTGGTGGCGATATTAAACTATAGTTAATTGTCTATTATGAGGCACATATAAATTGTTTTCGAATTAGGCATTTACCGTTTTTTTTTTTTTTTTTTTTTTTTTTTTTTTTTTTTTTTTTTNTTTTTTTTTACTTTTTTTTAAGTGAAAATGCGCGAATAAAATTCTAATAAAAAAATTATGAGCCATGTTACCAAAATTACATTAAGTAGCTCGAACAATCATAAATTCTTATTTTATTAATCTTGTGAAACTTTAAATTTATAACTAAGTATTTTCAGAGCATACCAATAGCTTTACTTGTTTTAATACAGTATATAAACTTACTTTATTTCATAATCTTTTTTTTTTGCATATTAATAAATCAACAAAACAAAGGAATAAATATTTGGCATTCAATTACGTAGCCATGGCATTACTCACATATGACGTAACTTTTAGCAGCCTTGGCTGCATTTTTTCACAGGATATTCCGAGATGTCACTATAAAAATATCAGTTAAACATCACTATATTAAAAAAATAAGAAAACTGCCTTGCAAATAAAAAACTTTTTTACCTACAGAAGAAGTATAGATATAGTATGCTTAAAAAAAATCAACAAGCACCTCTCTTAACAGGAAGATTCGAATAGTTATTTTTTATTCACTTCTCTCTTTTTTTAACAAAAAAAAAAAAAAAAAAAAAAAAAAAAAAAAAAAAAAAAAAAAAAAAAAAAAAAAAANCCAACAAAACAATATTTGAATACTTCCTTCAATGAAAATCGTGTGTTTTTAATTTTTAAAAAGTTGGATAGGATAATATTTATTATTGGCTGGGCATGCTAATAGTAATTGATAACTATTATTCTACAAATTCCTTATATAAATCTAATCAGAAATATGCACCATAAATACCAACAAAACAATATTTGAATACTTCCTTCAATGAAAATCGTGTGTTTTTAATTTTTAAAAAGTTGGATAGGATAATATTTATTATTGGCTTGGCATGCTAATAGTAATTGATAACTATTATTCTACAAATTCCTTATATAAATCTAATCAGAAATATGCACCATAAATACCAACAAAACAATATTTTAATACTTCTTTCAATGAAAATCGTGTGTTTTTAATTTTTAAAAAAGTTGGAAAGGATAATATTTATTATTGGCTGGGCATGCTAATAGTAATTGATAACTATTATTCTACAAATTCATTATATAAATCTAATCAGAAAAATGCACCATAAATACCAACAAAACAATATTTGAATATTTCCTTCAATAAAAATGTTATGTAATTAATTTTTGGAAATTGGATAGAATAAGAGCTTGCACGAAATGATAAGTGTTGTTTATCGCTTATAAGCGCTCGTAAACATTTTAAAAAAATACTGCTTGCTGTCAGGAAAAAAATGATTAACTTGCAAGGATAGCAACACAAGGATTTTAAAAACCAGAAAAAAAATTTCAAAATATTGAAACGATTTTCGAACAAATAATTTACCACAACTCTACCCAACCCGTTATTCTATCCCTAAAATGTATTAATATACCAAAACGCGTCATGTTGCGGAATGGTTTTGATTTCAAACTTTTTTGTAAAGCTATATTCCAACAATGCATAATTTTCCTTTATTCAAAAAAAAAAAAAAAAAAAACAAAANAAAAAAAAAAAAAAAAAAAAAAAAAAAAAAAAAAAAAAAAAACGATATTATGTTTATAACTTTAAATTATCGAACCGCGATTTGAAGCAGTTGTCTAACGAGGGAACAATTGAACACTTATTTAATTCCTTTAATACTGGTATCGATATAAAACTATAGTTAATTGTCTATTATGAAGCACATATAAATTGTTTTCAAATTAGGCATTTACCGATTTTTTTTTTTTTTTTCCTTTTTTTTTTTGAGTGAAAATGCGCGAATAAAATTCTTATAAAAAAATTATGAGCCATGTTACCAAGATTACATTAAGTAGCTCGAACAATCATAAATTCTTAATTTATTAATCTTATTGTGAAGTTTTAAATTTATAACTAAGTATTTTCAGAGCATACCAATAGCTTCTCTTGTTTTAATATAGAACATAAACTTACATTATTTCATAATCTTTTTTTTTATGCATATTAATAAATTAACAAAACAAAGGAATAAATATTTGGCATTTAATTACGTAGCCATGGCATTACTCACATATGACAACACTTTTAGCAGCCTTGGCTGCATTTTTTCATAGGATATTCTGAGATGTCACTATAAAAATATCAGTTAAACATCACTGTATTAAAAAAAATAAGAAAACTGCCTTGCAAATAAAAAACTTTTTTACCTACAGAAGAAGTATAGATATAAATGCTTAAAAAAAAAAAATCAACAAGCACCTCTCTTAACAGGAAGATTCGAATAGTTATATTTTTATTCACTTCTCTCTTTTTTTTTTCTCTTTCCTTTTTGAAAAAAAAAATCTCTTTTCGATCGAAATCGCATGCCACAAGCGACTGAAAAAACTTATTATTCATGAAATTCTTCCAAGTAGCAGTTGTTTCCTTTCTTAGTTGAAACTAGTTTGGTGATTTTGTTCCGAAAGAAAATGGGGAAGGAAAAAAAAGAGCACACCGTATATCAAATTGGTTTGGAACAGAGGAAAGTACTTTTAAAAGAAAGGAGGAAAAGTGTATTTCAACCAGATGAGAGTAAAATGGCAACTCTCCAAAATAAAGAGTTAAAAGTTTTAAGAGTTGAAATCTCATTTAACTTAAGTCCGGGCATAGAAAGGGCTTAAATTAATGAAATGACATTGTTGAAGGTGTTGACATTTCACGTTTAAAACCCTTCAAGTTTTACTTACTTTTACTACGCCGACACTTTTCAATAAAGTGGCTGTGGTTTGTAAAATAAGAAGTTTTAAAGAAAACTTTAGGAGAAAAGGAAAACTGATAAACTTTTTTTTCGCTAATCCATTTCCTGTCGTTAATGCAGCATATTATATAGACGAGTACCCTTAATGAAAATGTGGTAGAAGAAGCTTCTGCTTAAGAAAACAAAATCTGCTGGATATAATATGTATATCAATAACGTATTATGGTGGGCGGAAACATTTTAATTTTAAATATAAATGCTTAGAATAAATTAAATAAGACGTGTTAAGATATTACTCTTCTTTTTTTCTTTTGGAGAAAAGACGTGTTTCGAAAATGGAATCATCCGCGCCTAATAGGTTAATAATAATTAGTGCTATTAGTGTTCGTTTAATGAAATTAAACATGAAACGCAAAGAACTTATGTTGATTGTAACCTCAAATTAAATAAATAATACCAAGAAACTGAAGCGGTAAGACATTGCTTGATTAAATTCTTCATTCGCTTCAAAAATATACAAATTGGAAATAACAATCAACATGCTTCATGATCTCAAAAATAGGTGTCCATTTTCAAGACTTGCCAGGCGTGAATGAAAAGACATTTCAAATCAATTTTGTTTCTTCTCACTTACGTCTGACAAATCTTGAATGGACGCCTATTGAAAATGGGATGCTTGAAAATGGGCGCCTATTTTTGAGCGCTTGAAACATGTCGACTGTAATTTCCAACTTGTATATTTTTTAAGGGAGTGAAGTTTTTAATCAAGTAATTATAACCCCACTCAACATTTCTCCTCAGCGATCATTTATAATACAAGTTTGTATTTTTTAACCTATGATCAGAAGATAAATTTTTTTTAAAACTACTATTTTATTGGAGTTTTAGAAAAGAGAAAAGTAGCAATTGAATAGCTTGAGAAATAAGATTTTGATTAATTGTCATCACGCCTAAACTATTTTCAAAAAAAAAAACCTTCGATATCGAAATTCTATATACATTTGATAAAAGAACATAAATTTACTACTTGAGTTTCCTTTGAACTGAATATTTATTTTCAAAAAATAAAATATCGCTTTTTAAGTAATATTTAGGAGTGGATACGCTTAAGAAAAAAATAAGCACTGATGGTAAATAATCGAAAATCTTTAGCATCACATAATGCCAAAAACGAACTTGTAAAGAGAAAAGCAGTCTTCTTTAAAACAATAATAAAAAAAAGAAAGACAGAAAAGATAAAACGGAAGAATTCTAAAATGAAAAACGCCTATCTCAATATCGATTTAAAAAAAAATAAACAAAACTATTTTTATATAAAACATTTTAGTTTCCTTTCAAGCATAATCCAAGACAGTCAATTTATATATGAATAATAACTTTTCTTAAATTTTTGAATGTTATGAATGACCTAATAAATGAAGTAACTGTGTTAAGAAATAAAATTTAAAAAAAATATTTTTTATAAAATGTGAAAATTGGTGTGTAAATTGGATTATTATAGTAACTAAAATGTTTCTCTTTTTTCTAATACAGTTTATTTTATTTACCTATTTTTTATGTACAACAGTATGTATTCAAAGTTATTTTAAAAACGTAAAATAAAACATGTAAATGGAAAATTATTAATGCATGTTTTTACAATCTTTGTAGTCAAATATAAAGAAGAAAAAAAAACGCACGTTAAAGGCTGAAATTTACATTCAAGCAAGAAAACAAAAATGCTTCTAAAATTAACAAATCATTACAGAGAAATTCAATAAGCATCGACTTGTTTGATTGTTGCAGGGAGAAAAAAAATAGAACTCGATTATTAGAATTGCTTTCGAGTTTCATTAGACAACCTAACTAGCTATGAGAAATTTTTCATATCGTGTTCCTCATTAGTGATTTGACAGATTCATATATTTGACTATCCTGCTTTTGTTTTGCTATAATATCAATTTGCGAAACCTATTGAGCATTCTTTTTTTTTTTAAGTTCATTTTTGACAAGCATTCTAAATGCATAGATTAATGGGTGTCAAATATAAACAGCCTTCATATATGCAAAAGCATTGACAAAAAGCTTTTTCAGAAAAAAAAATTCTATACAATATTCCTAAAGATCCAAATGATAATTTTTAAAATGTTTTTAATTTTTAAACTGAAGCCTAATTTTTAACAGTGTGCAGACCTGCCAACTTTTAATCCCTTCCATTATCATTTTTCCCAGTGGTATTAAAATGGAATTAAAACTTCAATTTTAAGCAAACAAATACGTTGTATTTGAAAAAAATTAAGTTGACAACCATGATAGTAATGCATATTAATATAAACGATTAATTTTTGAAAGAATAGTGGTGATCAAAATCACTTAAAAATTAAATTTATAAAAGAAAAAATAGTATATATTTACTACCACTTTAAATATGAAAATAAAATCTCCCGCAAAATCCGGGAGAGTTGGCAGGTAGGTATGAGTGTGTAAAGCGAATGATAGTCTAATGTGCTTACATTTATTAGTTAAAGATACTATATTGTCTTTTTGTTTGTCTTTTGTTTGTCTTTTATTTGTCTTTTTGTTTAATGATACTACCCACTATCAACAAAATAAAACCTCAATATTCTAAAACTTAGTTATTTCTCAAGCTTCTAATTCTCTTCCTAATTAAAACATTATAAATTGGGTTTATTAAATAAATCCTCTACAACAACTTACTTTTTTGACAATTTCATATTTATGACCTAATTCTATAGGTTCTCAAAACTCTAAAAACAGGTTTGAAGGAATAAAATGAGAAAGCCGCATTAAAAATAAAACGCAATATTGATTCCACTTCAAATCGCCTCGATATAAGACCAACTTTTCCTCCTAAAAACAATCCAACGAAATACATTTTTAAAAGCATTATTCATCAAGATATCTTGGTCTTTTCTTCATTCTTTGTAGACAAAGCCAAAATACGACGGGATGGAGTGGATCGAAATGTCAGCAGATACTGTCCCTTGAGTCTTTTGAAGGGCTCCATACTTCTGGGTCCTTTAAATAAGGTCCGTAGATATATTGAGGTCTCTTAAAGTATATCTCAAAAACTTAAGGAAATGACGGATCGCTTGTCAGCGAAAAACTCTACCCCTTTTCCATTTTTTTTATTTCTTTTTAAGGTCATTCTTTCCCACAGTTTTTGATTTGGCAATCTATTTTCAAGCACTCTTACTCTCATATAGGCGTTCATTTATAATTTGTGACAGAAAAAGATAATGCATACTTTCTAACTTTTTTTAAAAAACATTGAATCGAAAAATTGTTTTAGGTTTGAGACATGTATTTTTTTTTTCCCATTGCATTTGAAATAAATCTTATTGCTTTATATAGATTAAATATTGAAACATAATACGATGTGAACATGATGTAAAACAAACTTAAAATGTAAGATAAAAGCCAATGTCAAAACTCACAAATATCTATAATGAAGTAGTTAAAAAAAAGCATACAGTTTCCAATCTAGAATAACATACAGATAAAAAAAGTACTTAACAATTATATGGCTCATCATATTAAGATTCCAGCAAATTTTTAAAATATTATAGTTCTTACTCTGATCCTAAATTGTTAACAGTTTATACTGGAATATAAGCGTATCGAAACAAACAAACATAGCTAACAATTTTATATTACTCTCACACATTGGAAAAACAAATTTTTAAAATAAAAGCTACAATATTTAAATGTCTCATTTTCTAAAAAAAATGTTTAGTTTTATGCAAAAATGCTAAATGTTCATTGCAAAACTTTGGCATTTCTAGGGAAACGACCATCTGACAACAACTGCAAGCACGGGACGACCTCACCGTGTTTTCTGCCACCGCCCAATACGACGACGAAGGGTCATTACCCGTGGTACCACCTCCGCCTCCACCGAGATCAAGTGCCAGCTCTCCCCGACATCACCATCACCGTCACCACGATGAGCACCAGATGGCGACCCTCAGTAGCACTAACCACCTTCTGAACCCAGGCGATGCCGTAGTTGACGATGAAGATACCGCAAGCAGCGTGGACCCAGAGACTATACAATCCTACCAAATATTGCAGTGGGAGTCGCAACTACCAGATTATGGAAAGCATGCTTCAAACGGAAATGTTATGCAATGAAGTTATTTCAATTGGAACTCCGATACAATGTGATTTCTTCTGAGACCTTTTGGATATTATAATACTGCTTAGCAATACCAACTATCATAGACAAACATAAGTTTAAAATAAATTTGTTCAAGCCCACTAAAGGACCAGTATTTCTGTTGTTATGATTGTTTAACCGCTGACGCTTGGATATCTCCTTTGGACTTGCACTTCTGGTGAGTGTATGATTGGAAATACCCCTTAATTCTAGAAATTTATCTTTAAGAATGTACAGCATATTATATAGAAGAAATGAATAATTCCAACAATTAAAAAAAATTGACTAAATGAATTAGATTTATTTACTTACAAATATCTTTACTGTGTTAATTCATTTTTACCCAGAAATCTTCACATATTGAAGTACTTTGTACAACTAAATAAGATTCTTTTCACAACACTTAAATATTTACTTTATTTTCTACATATATAGAGAGAACAGTGTTCTGCTAGGTTAAAAAACATTTCGCTAAAAAAGAACGAATTCTAAAAGAAATAAAAATAAACAACTTAAAGAATAAAAATGCTGTTGCCAGCCATAGAATTTTTTGAAAGTTAACTTAGAAATGACAAACCAAACGATGTTAACAATATGACGTAGAAAGCGCAACTAGATCAAAATTATACAAGTGCAACTAGATCAAAATTAAAATACCTGAGCGCTTGACGTAACACATATATTGTTTTTAAAAAAAAACTACATTTTCGAACTATTGACATTAAATCAGGGTGCGTAGCCATATTTTTCAACAAAAAATAAGCACCTTTCAAGTACTTTTTAAGCACCGAAAAAAATATCTTTAATCATTTTCCAAAACAAAATTATAATTAAAATCTGCGATTAATAAAAATTATTTTTTCTATCTTTAAAGTTCTTAATTTATGAATATAAAATTTTAAAAAATTCAAAAACATTTTCACAAACTTCCCATAATCATGACAAAAAAACTAGTTTCTGATAAATATTGCAGAGAAAATTGCGAAAATCATGCATTTTTTGTAATTTAGAACGACAATCGTCACGGCAAAGAAAAAATCTCTTTTTAAAAGAAAATTAAGAACTTTTTACAAACTCCGAATAAAAAAAGCACCTTTAAGGGCTTTTAAAAATTTAAATCAAAAATAAGCACTTTTTAAAAACGCACCCCGTAAATGCAGAAATGAAAAATAAACATAAATTTTCAAAAATCACTCAGCAATTAATAAAACGCGAATAAATATTGATAATAAAAATTGAACATATACAAAACAAGTTTTAAGAAAGATTTTCTTCAGAAAGATTTTTTTTAAAAAGTAATCATGCTTAACAAACAAATAATCCTTAAAATCTTACTATGAAATCATACATCGTCGTAAGAAGTCCTAAAAAGAATTACTGCTTCAAATGACCAATAGAACGTAAGACATATTGTTTCAAGTTTAGTAGTTAACTATGTTCAATCAACTTGATAGCTTTCTTGCTCAAATTTCTTTAAATGAAATTTGCTTAACATAGTAAATAAGATTTTGTTTCAAGGAATGAGGCTAGATTATAAACATAAATAACGAAACTGTATTAATAAATAAAAATAAAACAAAAGAAAAACCTATTCAGCTAATATTTCCTTCCAAATTTAACACACTTAATCGCACAAATTGTGTTTTTTGGTATGCCTAGTGGATCCTTTTACTAACGCATTAGCGTTCTTTAAATGACTGATCCAAAAAATACACTGATGCTAATTTTTCCTTGGTCTGAGTACTTTCAGTAATCTTGGACCAGCGGACCACTTATTACTTCGATCAATTTCCAACCACATCGATTTAAAAATCTAGAAAGTTCAAAGAAAAATAGTCTTTTGCTTAAAAAAAAATTACATTAAAAAGCGTACTTTCATGAGCATGAAGGAGCAAGGAGTGCCTGATAGAACCCATAGATTACATAACAAAAATTGGTTACTTGACATTTTTTGTTAAAATGCGAAAATCTGGAGTTAAGAGTTGGGTTGATTAGCATTACATTCTATTATCCTAACCTAAAATTATGAAGGATATAAGGCTTTTTTTTCCCGCTATAAATCTTTCTGGAATTAACCGTGAATGTTGAAATTTTCTTAGAAAGATTATCCTGCGTTATTAACTACAGTTTTAGCTCCAATTTTACAACAACAAAAAAACCTCATTTCAAGATTTAACGAATTTTTTTTTTCTCCTGAATAAAATGGGGGCAAATATCTTTATTTAACAAATAATAAGCCTCGGATTAAAAGAATACTCCAACAGGAAAAAAAAATTATTTTAAAAAAAAGATTTTTTTAGGTTTTTTGATGAATTTTTTAGTTTGGGGTCTATTTCCTAATTTGCCAGTCTTGAGTTTAAAAGAAATAATTCCAAACAACATTTTATCATCCTTTGATTTTTTTTCAAGGAAAATAAAAAAGAACAAGAAAAATTTAACGTTTGCATTCTTTTTGCTATATCATACAGATACATAGAGAATTTATTCCTTTTCACCCCTCAAAACTGTTTTTGGAATATTAAAATATTCAAAACTTTCGATGTATCGCTCCTCTCCGTCGAAGAATGACATAAAAAAAAAATATTAATACTTTAAAAATCCTTATGTTTCTTTTCTTCTCTTTCCCTTGAATTTTCAGCTCATTTTACCTTTTTCTTTTCAAAAAGAAGGAAAAGAAAAATAAGGAATAAAAGTAAAAGTGATAAGATTTTACCAATCTTCTAACGCTGTTTATCAAATCAATATTGGGCATAGTTCCGCGTAACTTAATAATGAAAAATCGGAAGGAGATATAAGGAAAAAAGATTTAAACAAATATTGCTATTTTTATAAAATGAAATGGGTTTTTTCTTCTCCTCAGAATTAAACTTATCTTCCTTCCTTCTTTTTATTATTTTTATTATCTCGTTCACACCTCCTTCCCCCGTTTTAAAAATCACTTTCTTAATGGGAACGAAATAACATTGTTAGAAGATACAGAATTGAACTAGTTAGTTGCAAGAATATCTTATCATATTTTTTGTTCTTTTATTTTCTTAATATGAAATCAAAGAAATGATTCAAACTAAACCCAATAAAAATAGTCAATTGAATCCAGAAAACAGTCACTTACTACAACATACATAACTACCAACATGAAAAAGAAAATATCCAGGGCATTTAACACATTTTAGTAAATAAATTTTCCAACTACCCTTTGCGAAGTAAATAAGACACAGGGAATCTTAGGAATTTTCATGGTCAGTGAAATATGATAACTACAAATCACTAATAACTATATATTTAAATAGAGTGCAATATTTTCCACATATCATTCACATTAAATCGACATGAATGCAAAATGCTTTTATTATATTAATTATATATTTGAATTAAAAAATTTGAACAGTAATAAATATTGAATCTCTTTTACATAGCTATTAAGATATTCCATAATTTTAACAGGGTGCGTAGTCAAATTATTCAACAAAAAAAGCACCTTTTAAGCACTTTGCAAGCACTCAAAAAATATTTTTAAGCACTTTAAAAAAATATTATTAGGCAGGGTTGGAAAGTTTTCGACAATCGACCGTTTTATCTTGGTTTAACCGTCATGTCAAACAAAAATAAAAACTATTTGGCATTGTTTTTGACAATTGTCAAAAATCATGAAATTTTGAATCATGTAAAACGAATGGCGTTTTCATACGCTGCGGACTAACTGAACTATACGCCGAAATAGATTGGGGTTGAATTAATTATGAAAAGGTGAATAGAACAATGTGAAACAGGGTCTTTTTGCATAATTCGAAGTGAAAATCAACATAGTAAAAGAAAAATCTCATTTTGAAAAATCAAAAATTAAGCACTTTTTAAAAACACCCAATGAAAAAAGCACCTCTAAGGGCTTTTAAAAAACGAACCCTGTTTAAAATAGAGAGTTCTGAATGAAAATAATGTTTAAAAAAGACTATTTAAAAAACAAAAGTTTCTAACGGATTACGATAAATAATGTTTGCTTCATTCATTAGTTACAGTACCTAGCATTGGGCAATATTTATTTAAATACTTAAGCGAGAAACAAACTGAGTAAAAATTCTTTTAAATATGGATTTTTTTCAAAAACTTTCCGAATTTCGGAAAATTTTTTAAACTATACACAAACGAGAATTTTTAATTAAAACAGTTGAAACGAAAAATTCAGTAAAATGGACAGCTTTGCACGCCTGTTTCCGCGTCTGATGTAAGTAGAAAATCTACGTTTATAATAAATTAGACTTGAAATTATTTTCTCGAAGCCATATCGTAATCGATACTAGGTTTGTTAAATACCTGTATTAGTTTCTAAATTTTAATCTTAATCACCACAAACAAATCTCTCAAGAATAACCATTAACTATTACTGTATTTGCATAAAATATACTTCAAAAAAAATTTTTTATTTCTTCATCATTAGACTACACTTATTCTTTAGCATAAATACATATCAAAAGATTCTTAAGTATACTTTTTAAATATGTTCTAAGCCGTTACCTTAAATATCACAGTTATTAATCAACATTTAGAAATACAGTCAACTTAAATATTGCAGGATATGCATTTAAACAATTTGACTACTTACTTACAAATTTTATGGTGCTAAAGTAACAAATATTAATTTCAACACCAACAGTTAACAATCATAATGAAGAAGTTTAAATGCAAGAAACAACACTCAAACAAACAATTTAAAACAATTAAGTAAAAAAACAATTAAGTAAAAAAACAATTTGTGAGGCACTACCAAACAGACGATAATTCACTTAATATTTTTTTCAAAATTGTGCTATTTTTTCAAATCTAAAATTTTCATTAGGAAATATTTTGCATACAATACAGCATTAGAAAATATTTTGCAATAAAATTAAATGTTCGATTTTAAAACCTACTATTTAACGGAAAATATCAATTAAAAAAGAGGAGTGGAAGAAAAAAAACAGAAGGATAAAATATCTCTTGCGAATAAAACCGATTGTACTTTTTTTTATTATTTTCGAACGCAGATGATCAGAATATTTTGCCTTGGAGGTTTTGCAACGCACTCTAAAAGTTCCAAGTCATGGAACTTGCTCATATTTATTCATTGTTCGTTTGGAAAAATCTTTTCAAAGCCCAGTTAAATCGCATGCGTGACATCACGTTCTTGGCTGCATGTGACTATTCCGTCTTACTAACTTTATTTTAATATATAAAAATAAATTTTATGAAAAAAAATCTTTAATTTATTTGAGTGGGGGCATCAGGATCAAAATTATTATTTTATTAAAATTAT